ATCATGTAGTATCCTCTTTATTCTTTCCGTGTTTCCGCTTCGAGAGTTCTCCCTACGGGTTATATAAATGCATCAGTCTATATATGTATACATATACGTTGCGCAATATATCGAATCGAAACGGAAACGTGAATTGTTCTGCGAGAGACACCACTGTTATAATAACAATAACAACAATATTCCCACCCTCCGTGGCTTTCGTTTCGAACAGAGAGTTCGAGATTATTATGATCTTGTTGATGCATCATCGCGTCAGGGTTGAAAAAGAGAAAAGAAAGAGAAGAGAGGAAAAAAATCTATTTGTCCCATGGCTCGGGAATGAGAAAAAGGGGCATACGAGTGTATAAAATGATTTTGGAAAGAGCCATTGTCTTATTGCGAGCTCAAAAGAGCCCCCAGCAGCTTCGTCCACGTATTAGAGTGTAATGTTGTAATTTAAACGAATTAAAGAATAAGCGGACTTTGTTAATTAACGTAAGCGCCATTTAACGATGAAAACGTTTGTATTTATTAATTGTACACGCCTGCGAGACTAACTGTATACATATATTTTCGTATCTTTCGAGAAGTTGCCACGATGAAGATCGTAAAGGGAAAGGAAAAAAAAGAAATAGTATAAATAGTGTCGCCTGTTTTTTCCCCCGCTCTCGATACTTTCGAACGAGAGAAGAAAGTCGTATTAATATCTTTTCGTCGGCGCCGTAGTACTTTGTTCAGGTATGAATCGAGACACACGACAGCGTTAATTTTCATTGCGGAAAGAGGTGTTCTTTTTCGAGTGAAAATGTAACTCAGAGAAAGAAGATAAAGAGGCAGGGAAAATAACGAACGACATTTAATCGCGTGATAATTAATTAATTAATTAATGGCGTGAATCGATATCGATGACAATGAGTTAATTCGTTTTTCGATAGCGATTAATTGTAATTTTAAGGTTTAAGAAGTCCGACGTGAATTTCTCATCTCCCTTTCCTCCCCACCAAAAAGTTTCCCCAACCCTTAATTCACGATACGACGTAGAGTTGTGGTAGTGATTTTTTGCCGTCGAGCCCCGTCTGATTAACTATTATTGATTAGTAATTGACGATGTCTATCATCGTCATCGTTCAGAATATTTTGTTATATATTGCGAGGGTGGAAGCAGCAAGAAATGCATTCTTTTATAGCGTAGAAGTTAATGAATATTCCGTTTGGATTAATAAACATTCACATTTTAATAGAAGATGTTTCAAGGGTTCTTCTACCCAATTCCAATCCTGTCAACCATTCTTTTTACGTTTATTCCTCGTTGCTCTGTGATTGTGATCGATAAACTTATTAAGGTAAGATTTTTTATCATTTTTTTACAGGTGTATGAAATGTTGATGAAATTAATTACATTGAAATTCGGTAGTTTGATGGATTTTTTATTTAAGTTAATTTTATTTGTTTAATTTTCTCGAGTATGATCAAATGGGAAACGATTACTTAGAAATACCTAGAGACTTTGATTACTTCGATTGATTTCAAGTTGTACACGATACTCGGATATGTAGGTTGTCATTCTCCAATTGTACACAATTATTTGAAAGCATCAGAGAAACTGTTTCTCTGTTTCCTCGTCTAATATTCTACGTCTTTCTGTTTTATCACAATCACATCGAAAGCCCTGTAAAACTCCGCTTCGTCGTCGCACACTTATCCTAAGGTACGTATATAATCATACATTCACGTATATATTTACAGTTCAAATTTCGAGTAGCTTTTAATTTCGAAGAACATTTAATACTGATAGTAAAATGAAACAGGACGGCTTCGAACGTCGATCGTCATTTTTTCTACTTTTTCCAAGTGAAACGAAATAAAAATGGAAACTACCTTCTTTTCCCCAAAAAATATATACAGAAACTCTTTCTTTAAGATTCAAATTCGAAAATTTGTACGTTTGTCTGGTGATTCATTTATTCGTTCACTCGTGTCTATGCGAGATTAAACTTCAGTAGAAGCCGCGACTCCATATTGAAACGTACTGTAAAAAAGGTAAGATCTATGCAGATATGTCACGTCGCGAGTGTCGCTAAAATTCTCTCGTACGTTTAAGCGATGGAACATTTGTGACATCGCTGTTTGTTCGACTTCATTTTCCCGTCTTTCTCTTGATCCAAGTGCTTACGAACAGATTCTGTAATTATTAGTTGGCAAATTGTTTTCGTTGGAAACTTCACTTATACGATGGAATCTTTTTCAACTAAATTATTTACCAGCCACAGATTTTTTATCCACAGCAGCCAAAGCGTCGTACAGTTCCTTTTCTATACCGATCTCAGAATTCACTCCTGAGGCCCAGATCATCAGCAACCGGAAGCCGTGTTCTTTGTAACTCGAAGAACCTATCAGAGGAGCTTTATCGTCCTTTTCATACGGCTGTTCTAAGTTCACGAAGGCAACATCGTGGTACAAAATATTCACCGATCAATCATTCGTTCGTGTTCAATTTTTAATAGAGGTTCGTGTTTAAAAATATCAATTTTGTACCTCGATGATTTCTTACAGTCGGAACATCCTTAATTAAAATGTCTATCGTCAAGTGTCTAGTTATTTTACCTGTATACTGATGTTCGATCGCTCGAATCTGATCGGGAGTAAACGCCCAATGCATAGCTAACTTTTTCCAATCCTGAGGGCCTAACTGTTTGTACGCCAACTTCCACAGAACAGATCTAATCTGTTCGGGAAGCGCGCTATTGTTACTCGAGATACTTTCACCCCGAAATCCCTCTCTCCATCTCCTTCTGGCTGGCGTTAGATCGCGAATCTCTTTGTCGAACGTTGAATCCTCCTGAAAAGATCCTTCTCTAATATCCCAGAACCGGTATGAAGACGGATCTAAGTTAATTTGCATTATAGTAATGTGGAACTACGCTAAAAACGTGGTCAAAAATTGATCCTTCTGGTGAATTATATAGTTACATTTATTATGCAATGCAAAATTTGTCGAGTAACAGACAGTGTTGACCAAAAGTTTGGGGTCATTCATAAAGTTACACTGATTTAGTAGATGTGCAATTAATTTTGCAGGAATCTAATGCACTTTGCTTACTAAATTTGGGTAACAAAGAAATTAATTGAAATTTATCTAAATTTCTAACTTTTGTCTCAAAGTTCTGTCGTTCCAAACTTTTGACCGACGTTATACGCGTGACGCGTCAATTCCCACGATAGATCGCTGGAATCTCCACGTAATGCATCATGCAAATTGCACAGTTTGCTTATTTAACACACATTACGCGTGCACAGGTGCATGCATGCGTTATGCAAAGAAAAATAGCAAAAGTAACCCGCGTTAACGAAGAACGAAAGCGTATAACGTATATACCAAACGTCGCCATACTTTCACATTAAGAACTAGCGGTGTTATCAAACGAACGGGAAAAGTGTAATATTCCAGAGAGAAGGTTTACGTTCTCGTAAAAGAACCGTGTTTCAGGCCACCTACCGGTGTCGGATAGTCCAATCTCGCGGTTTTAATTATCATGTCGACAATGGCCGTGAAACTGCCCCTCGCCGCGATGTACAGTGGCGTTCTGCCGCTCTGCGAACATCCGGACAACTTTGCTTTAACTTTATTAGCAAGGGTTCACGGCCGCTCCAGGGCTGACGTGTTCCCGTGAATTTCGTGGCTGAATATGGCCACGCCACCTCCCTGTCGTGCAAACACTGCCCAAGGGAGAGGTGGGGGCGGTTCTCTGTTTACGGTGTCAGCTCGTCGCAACCGTGTTAAACCGGGGTTAACATATTCGATACAAAGAGGTACGCCCACTTTGATTGCGTCCCATCGAAACTGCATATCCGGCAAACTTTTGATCCTATCAGTTTCAAAGCTAAGTTTAACGGTTCCAGAGGGGCTGTAACGCCGTGACGTCCTTTACGACGCTTCTCGCCCTGCTACTTCCGGTTTAATGTTCGTCCGTAGATGAGATAACGGGAACCGCGACACAAGCGTGTAACTAGCGCTAACTTCGCGGTGAAACACGCTGATTCTACCTCGTTTCGATCGATTCCAGTTCCGAGGGATATACGGGGTGTTTCTGAACTGATGGTACAAGCGGCAAGAGGGTGACTTTATATGGAAAAATAAGTGGAGAAAAGAAAGAATAACATTTTTTCGTATCGGGTTTCGTTTCCTAATAAATCAGCGTTGAAGATCTGTCGAGTATACGTACACTTACAAATATCACTGTGTTGCACTTCTGTTGTTCTTCGGCCACAGATGCGTTACCGGCGGCACAAGCACAGAACGCGAGAATTATACCGGTGTACACTCGATTACCGTATGTTTCCACATCGACAGAACGACCGAGACTGAAGGTCTGACACAGAAATGATAACAAGCCGCGACATTGGTGATGTTTACGAATCGAAACGTAACAAAAGTCGAGTATACGCGTACTTGGTAAATCTTGGACGCTGATTTACTCGGAAACGAAGCCCGATACGAAACATGTTATCCTTTTTTTTTTCCACTTCTTTTCGCATGTAGAGTGACCACCTTGCCGCTTGTACCACCAGTTCGGGAACACGGTTAGGATAGGAGATGGAGATTCGTTGAGTAAAGGAGGAAAGAGGAGGTGTACGATCAATGTTCACCTGTTCCCTTTGCTCGATATTCGCACCTGCTGCTAGCAACAGCTCACAAATGTCCGTGTGTCCCATTTCTGCGGCGATATGAATCGGAGATTCTAGTCTCTAGAACACCCAACGAATAAATCGTGTGAGAGGAAGAAGAGAAAAAACGTTCGATCTGTGGGAATGATTATACATACTGAGTTCAAGCAATTCAGATCGACACCTTTATTGATCAGAATTTCGACCGTTTCTATTTCGTTGTTCTGGCAGGCCAAGTGCAAAGGCGTGTTCCCGTACTGCAAATCGATTCACCGTGATGGATAGTTATTCAATTCCGATTGCACCTACCTCAAGTGTACCTTGCACTGTTTGTTGAGTGCTGCGCCATGTTGGATCATCGAGTCTAGGATCCCTTTGCACCCTTGACTCGCTGCCACGTGCAGAGGTGTGAAACCCATCTGAAACATTTCGTTAAGAATTTCGTCAGAGAATGTTCCGTTTTTCTCTTCTCACCGAGAAATTGTTGTTTTATTTACTTCGTCGGTTAACTCAATGTTCGTAGTAGCTTTTAACAATAGTTGAGCTATAGCTGTGTGTCTTGTTCTCGTGGCCACGTGAAGAGGCGTGTTTCCCTCGTTGTCCTGAGCATCCACGTTCGCTCCAAGTTCTATCAGAACTTCCACAGCTTCGAGATGCTCCTCTGCGCAGGCACAGTGCATCGGTGTCTGTCCTTTCTACGAATTCACCACAAGTTCCACTTTTGCCTGCTTCGTTATTTCGGTGTAATTTCGTATACAGAAATTCGTACGCAAAAATTTGACGTTTCTTTAAAGTTTCTTCTTTAAGTACATCCGTCAAAGTTTCTCTCGTACTTTGGCTTTCGGGGAAGATCAAACGTTTTCCACTCGGTGGAAAAATCCGAATGTGCATGTATAGATAGAAGGGATTACCGGGTGAATCGACAGGGCCGAAATGTGTACATACGTATATATATATATATATATATACATATATGTACACAGTGTCTGAAAGTGGAAAGCCGGAAGCACCGGCAAAACGGCACAGAGTTCCATAAAATTCCCTCAAAGGACTGCTACAGTTAGATTCATGCGGCTGCAGAGCCAGCGCTCCTCTCCTTCGGGGATTTCACTTGTCTTCGCGATAAGAAGCCAATATAGCTAATGTCGGAGACCTAGTTTCCACCCGGTATCTAAATCGAGAAAGGGATAGAAGGGAGGGTAGCAGAGGCGGACCAGTTTCCGTATAAATTCAAGTTTCTTGCGTCCTTTGCATCGCGCGGATATTTGCATTCTCGCGTCAATTTCGCCCCGGATTAATATCTCAGGACACGCCGAATGAACTGTCCTCCGACGGAAAGAAACAAAAAAAATAGCAGAGGACACTCGCAACTTTTGTTCGCGTTGTACGAAAAAAAAAAAAAGAAAAAGGTAACCTACCAGAAGTAACTTTTTCTTCTTTTTTTTTTCCCGCCCTCCCCATTCGGGTAATCGAAAATAATGGGAAACGATGAATTTGAAGTAGCTGCGGAAAGTTTAAAGTGTCGTCAGGTACGATATGGATTTTTCGTGGATAAAGGAAAACCATTTGCAAGGAGGTGCAATTTAGTGAAATTTATACGGGGGGGATTCTTTCCTCCGGGATACACTAAATCCTTGAAAACGTTCGCGGAATTGCACTCGAAATGTATGGGCAAGCTTAACGTCCGTGTTTAATGTTTTTTTCTTTTTTAGGCAGAATTAACGAACAGAACAAAAGCTACGCGTGACACGTTTCGAGACACATCTTCTTCATGACTATTTATGATTCTCATCGCTGCTAAGATTATTTCAATTTTATAATTACATTTGCATTCTTGAAATATTGACCGTACCTGCAATATTCCCCTTGGCTTTCATCGTGCGCGAAATTTTCATTTAAAAATCGTTCAATTTTAAATTCAAATGCGTATCTGCATATACGTACATATTCCCAGCGTCCGTCAACATTTTCAACGTCGGAGCTCGTTTAAAAATACCAAAAAAAAAATTCTCTTTCCGATACAACGTCGACTCTAATTAATCCTTTCGCGACCGAATTATTTATCTCGGGAATCGGATTTATTTATCGATTTTTCCGCTTCGCTCTTCCCAGTTGAAAAAAGAAATCGTTCGTTTTCAGCGGTGAAATGTGAATTTGTAACTCTTACGTTGTCTGTGGCGTTGAGTTCGATCCTCGGAACGCTGGAAAGCGCGGTTATCATAATTGGGTGACCAGCGCTGGCCGCATGATGAAGTGCAGTTGCACCGGTGCAGTCAGTTGCATCTCCGTTCAACGATTCGACAGCCTCAGCGAGATATTCCATGACTCGAACGTTGTTGCCTTGAGCGGCGCACATTAAGAGAGTTTGGTGTTTCTGTGGCAAACAGACTCCACGTTTACATACATTTCTCTTGCAACGTTGTCCTGGTTCTAACGTCGATACGTGAATCTTTTAACAGTCTTTGTTATCAGAGAATCGAACCAGGTAGGACGTGACGTCACTTGCAGAAAGCTACTTTCCGAAATAATTTCGTAACATCTTCCTCTCGAGGAGATCGAACGAGGAAAAAAATTCGATTGATCTGCGAAGCGTTTCTTCGAGAGATAAGAGAGTACCGTTCGAAGCGTGTCTTTATCGCGAGAAAGAAATCTGAGAGGAAAGCGTGACTCGATTGTACTTTCTACTATTTCCTTCTTTTTTTGTATTTTTCTGTTTTTTTTACAAAGTTCCAGTTGACTTTTGCGAAATTTTTCATCTTAAAATGGATTGATATAATTATGAACGTACCTTGTTTACCGCTGACACGTTAGCCGCGGCGTTGATTAACATTTTCACAGCGTCTCTGTGCCCGTATCGCGCAGCCATGTGCAATGGCCGCATGCCGAACTTAAAACATCGTAAACAGGAATTTAAATGCATTTTGTCAAGTTTGTATGAAATCTCTGTGCACCCGTGTTTCCCGGTGAAATTAATACGAATTCCGTGCAAAAAAGCGGGAAAAGTACAAACAGTGACAGAGATGAAGAAAATATTAGCCCGGGTATGAAGTAACGAGGGAAAAAAACGTTAGAAATATCGCTCGTTCGTTTATTCAGACCGTTAACAGACTCGATTTAATTCCATCCAGATAATACTTGAACGAGAATTTATTTTCGTGGAACGTTACCTTGTCTCTCGCCTCGATGTCGCATTTCGCTTGTATCAGCATCTCGATGATCTCTGTGTTCCCCCTGGACGCTGCCCAGTGAATCGGCGCTCGACCATACTAAGCAATCATCGTGTAACGGTGAAATACACAAACAGAAATGACCACGTTTAATATTGCAACGGGTGAATGCAATTAATTTCATTCGAAGATTTGAACATTTCCATACGGCGATAAGTAGTAACGTCCCGTATCTAGTCAGACCGATTACTTAGGTGCCGCGACGCGTTGTCACGTTATCCAGCTCTCTGAGCTGTGTAACACGTTTTACACGACATTACCGCTGACGAAGTGTCGCCAGCTGAAAGATTCTATTCTCAGTTCGACCGTTTTCCGACGCCGTTTCGGCCAATTCAATTTTCTAACCGAGGAAGCTGCATCGAGATTATACTTTCCCCTCACGTTTGTCGCGACTCTTTCCACGGGATTCATCCGATTATCGCGTCCGTTGGTTTTCCTCCTCTTTTCATACTACTTACGTTGTTCCTGGAATCAACGTCGACCCTCTCTTTCAGCACTTTGCGAACGGTGTCCGCCTCATTTTTTATCACAGCCTCGTACAGCAAGAGATCGTTCTTAAGTACTGGCGGAAACAGAAGAAATTTTTTCATTCTTAGTCGACTACTTTTGCACGAAAGTGCGCCAAAGTATAGCGACACCAGCTGAGAAATTGTTCGAATTCTACAATCTTTTCCTTCAACGTTTCATCGTTACACAACGGACACTTCCTTTCTACTTTTCACTTCGCGCGTTTCCATTCGAAGCACTTTTCCAATATCAGGAATCGCGAGAAGTGTATCCAAGTCTCTCAATATTTGTTCGTTTAATCAGAACACGATGGAGATTACTGGTGAAAATAAGGAACTTAACCTACAGTTCTCAACTTTCGATCGGTGAACGTTTCTCGAGCGAAGAAGAAAAAAAAGAACGTTTCTACCGTGCAACGGCCACTTTTTTCTTCTCGTCGTACTTACTCCTAGCAGTCTTTTGATTCAACACTTTTCCCTCGATCGCCTCGTTGATATTCAGGGGCGAGGGTGTCTTCGTTATCTCCCCTTTGTCCACCATTTTTTACCGCCTCCGGTGCTTCTCGCTCGGCTCTACATCTTTACTCCTCCTCCTTTTTAATCATCGGACCTGGAAAATCGAAAACTGAACACAGAGCGCTGCTTCCTTCAACTAATTATATCCTCGATTCAATCTATTCAATTACGAATTTACAACCGTCCCATTTTCGACTGTTCGTTCGCGCGAAATTAAAGATCCCCCTCTGCCGCACAGTTATTAATCAAAGGAAGTTATGCAAATAGAATTCTCCCGTTGTTCGTCCCAATTTCGTTACACGATTTATTATCAAAATTCACCGCGACTGGACCGTGTAACGGGTCTCTTGTTTACTAGATCATTCGTTCTACCACACAGTGAACGTATCTTTCTCTCTCTCTCTCTCTCTCTTCGTCCTGATTTTTCGACGTTCCGTCCAACGGCGAATCTATTAATTGAAAACTCCGTGTCAGCTCCGAAGATAATTGAACTCGCAGTCTCTACGCTTCGACAATATCCGTATCGAAAACTCGGATACTAGGGTAGAAGTGAAATAATTGGCAAGACCGTGGTTATATTTAGCAATTTGCATCGATGGCTTGGCTCGTTGGCTCTGCTCGAATAAACGTCGTTATTATTCCGAGGATCCGGCGTTCAATTTCGAAATTACGCCGACAACAGCTTCTTATGGTGATACTAGCGAAACGTCTGAGGGATACGGAAAGTAATAACTTCGGCAAGGGTGTGTATGTATACAGATATAGAGTAGAAAGGAAAATTCAACGATTTTTCAGGTTGCGTCAATTACACACTCAGAGAGTAATTGGAACGTGCAAGTTTCCGACCGTGGAAACGTAATCGATGATACACGGTCTGTTTTCCCAGCGTCAACGTAACAGCGGTATTACCTTCTACGTGGACCAGAATCGAAACTTACGATCCTCCGGGCACCGATATCATCCGCCAGCCCACCAGAAGTTACCATGGCAGCGCATAATGTTAAAAGAAATGCACATATTCCGCCATCCATCCATTAAAGGGGTATTTGAACGTCTTCTTTTTCGGAATTTTTTGCAAAGAAACCAGTAAGATTGTGGAGTTGAAATGTTGCACATATATTCCTACATATATCAACTATACGAGGAAAAATATTGAGTTCAACATCGTTTATATTAAAAAAGTTATACATAGTCTACTCTTAACCCTTTCGATCCTATTCTTCAAATAGTACAGTATTATTATTATTTTTATTATTTTATTTATCGTGTGAATATCTTTTCGACAATTCCGAAATAGAAGTATATATAGAACGCTCCGTATCACGAGCGTACAAGTGGAACAATCGAGGTTCACGGATACTCTTTCCGAAAGGAACGTTTCATCGTTATCTATCCGACCCGTTCTCCTCGAAAGCGTTGCACATGGAGCTGGTGGAAACATAATCCATGCGAGTTTCTCGTGTTTCCAAGCGTCGAGAGGCAAAAGTATCGCTGGGCAGATAGGAAAATAGAAAATATATAACATATATATGTATACATATATAAATATAAAACATTCCGCGTTCATGGTTCAACGCAGGTTTTGTTCGTCTCGTTTCGAAAAACGTCGGATCAGCCTCGCGAAAGGGAGCACCGGGGGAGAAACAAAAGCGTGTAGGTATATTCAAAAGTGCAACATGTTTTTTTCTCTTTGTTCTTTCTCTGTACAAGCCAGAACTGTTTCTATCGTTTTAATCACGTCCAATAACGCACAGGCTTTCCCTCTCCCTCTTGCGTAGCAGTGAAATGAAATTCTGCATTGGCTGAAAGTTCCGCGGAGAGTTACCTTTATGAAATCGCGCAACGCAGCTCGGCGGAAGGAAACATTTCCCTGTCCACTATCCCCGGACCAAATTTTCCACGCTGCTGAGAAACGTTTAATAAGAATCTTCTCTCTCTCACTTCTCCAAGTTCCGATATTTTCAGAGACAAGCTCGTTTCTCTCCCTCGAGAAAAAAGAAGAAGAAAAGAAAAATTCGCGGCGGTAAAACGAGCGGAGAACGTGACGAAGACCGGAGAGCACTTGAATTGCTCAGAAAATGGCTCTCATTATCGTTTCCTCTATCATCTGCCCGAGCAAACATTCCCCTGAATCTCTCTGTTTATCCAACTTCTTCGTTTGTCCAAACGAGAGAAAGGGTGGAAAAAAGGTGGAGAGAAAAGCAACCCGTTGTGCACTTGCTCAATCAGGCTTAATTTAATATTCGAAAAAAAGTTCGCTCCGTGGAAATTTCTCATTAGGCGGGGCGGTTCGCTATTCCAGGCACAGGTCAAATGGTCAATTGGATTCTGGTGAATGATGATCGTGGCATAGTTCTCATTGCGACCGTGACTGCGTGTGTGTGCGCGCGCGCTCGACTGAGCGACATCGTTGAAATTCAATCGAATACTAACACCGTGTATCACTGATTTATTGCCAGATCGTGTTGGAAATTCGAGGCCACTTTCATTCATGGACCCGTAGCTTCGAAGGTATTTCGGTGTACACGGTGAAAGAAGATTAATCGTATCATTGGCACACCTTCGTTAGCGATACCAAGTTCTGGAACAAACTGACCTCGAACCGGACTCGAAATAATAATAGGTGGTATTGGTGTTTGGCTGTTGTTTCGACAGGATACCGCGTTACACGTGCAATTAGACGATAGATAGATAGTAATATCGACTCGTGATTATTCTTACACGTGGAAAAACATGAAGGAACGGGGGAGCTTCTTCGATTGACCTACAAATAACTGAAACGCGACGTTCGGGGATGCACACGTATCGACAGCACAATCCCGGGGGGAATTAGTATACCTTTTCAAGCATAAATGCAGTTGGCTTAACCGAGATATCGCGTATCGTCGAGCAACGGTTTTGCATGAAAATACGGAGAAACGAAGGAGGAAACGAATCCTCCGAACGTACACGTACTCCACATATATCTCCCGCATATTTCATTTAACAAGGTTTTAATAACTGATCGATCGAAAACCGAGTGAACGATTCATATTTCAACAGAGAGAGGTGTACACGATGGACGGATGGGAAACCTTTTTGTCGAATTAAATGGACGATACTTGAAAAATTCATTGTTATTCTCTCGTTACCTCGCGTTATTTTTATCCCGGTTAGAAATAATTTTTTAATACACTCTGATTTTTCTTAAAATCATACCAGATATTATTTAAACGAAGAAAAAATGGCAAGTAAACGAAAGCTCGTTTGCTGCAGAGAACAATTTAATTCTTCTCCCCCTGAGGGTGTCTGACTAGTCACGTCCGTTTCTACTTGCTCCCCTTCTCTCGAAATTTCCACGGAACTTTCCGCGCCGTTTTGCCTCTCATTTTCCGGGATATTTCGGAAATGAATTCTCGAGTATTTTCCGCGTGTCGAGTAGCAGTTATAATTGACTTCATCTGCCCAGGACGGCACAGGATCATCGATATCCTCCAATTTATACGGTCGGAAGCTCGCCGATTAATTAGAAAGCTTCCGTCCTCCGGTAAATTTGATCATCTGCAGCGAATCAAGCGTTTATCGCGTCGCTTTTGACCCGGTGTTACGATAATCCCCATTTGAGTGCGCAACGTTGCTCTCGCCGCGATATAATAAACACGCCGATCGCAGATGAGCGTCATTTTCTACAACCGGAGTTCAATGCAATACATTTTTTCCCTTGGAAAATTATTTCAATAGAAGTCTCTCTAACAAAAGTATCTACAACTTATAAGTAAGAAACGTGAAATTCGTCATTCCGGCAGGTCGACTTTCCCCCGGCGTTAAAAATTCATTCCAGTTGCTTTGATATCAATTCGCGTCCACAGGGGCACGCCTTTACACTAACACTCGCGGCAAAAATTACAAACGTGTGTCTGCTAACGATCAATAACGTCCGCCCACGTCAACCTGCCCAATAGCACCGAAAAATCTAGAAAAACGAAAAAAAAAAAAAAAAAAGGAAAGGAAGGAGTGTTCGCCTCTTTTTCCAGCGGATCAATGGTGCCGTGCAAATAGAAGAGGCGGGCATTTAGCGCGCGGCACCGCAACGAGAAGTCGAGTAATTAGCGGTAACCGGTTCCCTGTTTGCTCTCTCTCTCTCTCTCTCTCTCTCTCTCTCTATCCCCGTTGTCCCGAGAAGAATGGAGAACGAGCGGGACGAACGGTTAAAAGAATGATCGCTGTCGCGACGGACGCCTTCGTTAAAGCGACAAGCACGCTCCTTCTATCCAGTCTCTCTTTTGTGTGCTAAAAATAAAGACCGACCATTCCAGCGCCGCGTCAATGAACAATATAATCTCTCTTCCTGCTCTTTCCGATCGTCAAACGAACCTTCCTTTTCCTCCACGAGGCTCTCCTCCTTTCACCGCGGAGAACACTTTTACCTGGCAAAAGTCATCGGGAAAGTTTCGGGCCGGAGGAAAAAAATTCCAGAGAAGAATCGACAAACGATCATTCCACCATCTGTGCGCACACACTATGGTTGTACGTACCAACGGTGAGCTAAAAATAAGCACAATGCAACCGGGCTGCAGGTTCCAGCCTATTCTTCTCAGTCTCCTCTGTGTTCGTTTCCCTCTCTTTTCTTTTCTCAAACTCTGTTCCTCTTTTTTCTTTCGTCGTTTTCCTTTTGCGTACATTTGTCGAGCTCCGCCAGGATAGCAGGAGGTTCCTCCGTTTAATTCTGTCAGACGAGAGTATTCCTCCAGGTCCCCCGAATTTTCGTACCGTAAATTTTAATAGCTCGTTAGCGAGAGAGTTCAGGACTCGCGCGACTCGTGACCGAGTAATTACGCGACGTAATAAAATCGATTCGAATGGAGGGAGCGGACTGGCGGAGGTTCCTCGAGTGCTTCCAAATCGAAAATAACAAGGTGGACAGGCTTCTGTCCAAGTCACAGGCGGTCCAGCTAATAATACACACTCCCGGTTAATACGCCACGCGGAAAATTCTACGGTTTTTGAGTCGACTCCGCTTTTACCATCAGCATCTGTACAAAAGGA